CCCCAACCTGGAATTTTGATGCAGTCGAAAACCAGAACTGAAGCAAAGCATGAGAGCCAGTCTGGTGCAGTGGTTAAGTGCACAGACTTTAATCTGGGAGAACCGGGTTTGATTCCCCACTCCTCCGCTTGCAGCTGCTGGATGACCTCGGACAATCCATAGTTCTTTCAGAGCTGTTCTTGAAAGAGCAGTTCTCGAAAGATCTCTCAGCCCCACCTACCTCACAGGGTGTCTGCTGTGGGGAGGGGAAGGGAGTTTGTAAGCAGCTCTGAGACTCCGAGTGAAGAGTGGGATATAAATCCAGTCTCTTCTCCTAACATGACACATGAAATGATACAAAAATCACATAGTAGGATCCTATCTACACGCAGTAGTATAGGCTTCCTAGAGGGCACTCTACCACACACTTGAATGTGATAGCAAGATTTCCACTAATTTGAATTGTTTTGGGTTGTGGTCTACATTGTTTTCTCTTTTTTTAATGGATTACCAGAATAAATTACTATTTTTTTTTAAATGTCAGGCAGAAGATGCGCTGCGACGTGAAAAAAACCTGGAGGAAGCAAAGAAAATTGTCATTGAGAACGATCCCAGTCTCCCAGAACCAACATGTGTGAGTAAAACTTCTTAACATTTAAAAATGAGATCACAAAAGTTTAGGCATCTGATTTGAACTTGCATGTGTTCACGGGGAGGGACTGGGACTCAGTGGCAGAGCCTCTGCTTGGCGTGCAGGAGGCCCCAGGTTCAGTCCCCGGCATCCCCAGTTAAAGGGTCTGGCAATAGGTGATGTGAAAGACCCCAGCTTGAAACCCCGGAGAGCCGCTGAATGTCTGAGTAGACAGTACTGACTTTGATAGGCCAGCGGTCTGATGCAGTATAAGGGCAGCTTCATGTGTTCACACGTTTGTGTGTCGTGAAGTTTGTTGTGCTAAACTAACAGCAGAGTACCCCAGAACAGTTACATTCTGTGCAGATGGGTTTCAGGCTCAGTTGGGTCTTTTATCTTTAGAGAAGAGCAGCTGTTTCTCAATGTTCGTGGCTTCTCCAAGCATGACGTTTGTATACTGTATTTTACCTGAGGGGAAGATGACCCCCTTTAAAATGAGAAAAGTTAAACCCTGCCTTCTGTGTTTTCTAGCATCAACTGGAAGAAGGAGGGTCAAACAGGGAGCCCCATCAGGTGGCTTACAGCACTGCTTCTAGCCCTGCCAGACAGCTGGTCGGTGGGGGCCACTTTCCCCTTTCTGCCCCCACATCTTTCGGCTGCCGCCAAAAGGCATAGAGACAGAGAGAAGAGAGTTTTGTGTTACCTTAGTAAGGACAGCCAGACCGGCAGATCAATTTGGACATCTTTCAGATCGTTGGGAAACCTGGGATACATTTTCTAAAACCTGTTAAGATTCTGTGTTGCGATTGAATTCATTTTTAGAGGTTTATATTCTGCCTTTTCTTCTGTCGGTGGCTGTCGAGGATGGCTTAGAAACGTGTATTCGCAATTAAAAACAGGAATAAACAACTGCCAAATACCACAGCTACTCACAGTTCCTGTCCTAACGGCAAAGCTGACCAGAGATCGACCATTATTGGAAGGGCCTTTTAAACAGGGCATCTTTACAAAACCCCTGGGACTGAGCCAGCACGGGTTGCCTCCCCCCCCCCCCTCCCCCGACTCTTTTCGAGGGAGGCAGTTCCAACTGAAAAAGACTGATTTGCATTGTTGGCACATCTAATAGACCCGAGAGAGGAAATAGTCAGGAAGAAGCTAAATTGGCACCCAGATTCATATTTGTCTGTCCTGGATATTTATTTGTTTGTTTACAACAGTTGTTCCCAATCTTTCTGCCCTTACAAGGGCCACCAAGGCAGATAATTTCAAACAGAGCCTTAGATGGCCATCTGACAACAATGCTGATTCTGTGAACTTAGGCAGATCGTGAGAGGGAGGGGCAGGAAGGGTTGCCTCAGGGCTTAGTTCTCGTGGCCCTTTCTTACACGCCCAGGGAAATGCTGATTGCCACTTTGGGGACAGGAAGCAATTTTTCTCCAGGCCAGTTTAGCCAGGGATCCTGGAGGTTTTTTTGTCATCTTCTGGGCATGGAAC